TTGTGGCCAACATTGGCTGTTTTAACACGAATTCCTCTTTCTTTGAAATGTATTGACATTTAATGACAAAAAATTATCTGGTTGACCATGAGGTAGAAATAATTAAAGAATGCAAATGGCCCCTCTACAAACCTGATTGTAACCAAATAGATTACTGCATGCGAAGTCTGCTAGAAGCATGTGTCAAGAAAAAATGAGCAAGTTAGGGTTCTTGCCGAATGTGGAGTGAAACAATATCCCCCCAATGCGATCGACCGGGAAATTCAAAGATTGTATGTTTCAGTTAACCCTCATCCGGGCAAGCTTTTTTACAACCTATTCCGGGCAAGGTGAGTCTGTCAGACTCATATGTAAAATAAGGCCGTTTGCTGCGGTTACGGTAAACAAAAAGCCGAAAAACAAAAATTTCTTTGTATTTTTGAAGAGAACGAACAAGGTGACAAAGTAACGAAAGCTCATTTTTCTACGAAAAAAATAATGACAGTAATAGACCGAAATATGTCGTAGTGAGTCCAGCGGACTCACCTTGCCCGGATTAGGGTTAAGAAGAACGGGGACACATCACAAATATAAAAGTCACGAAAGCTCATTTTTCTACGAAAAAAATAATGACAGTAATAGACCGAAATATGTCGTAGTGAGTCCAGCGGACTCACCTTGCCCGGATTAGGGTTAAGTAGTGAATACTAGCGCGAGTTCGAAAGCGGTGTTAGTAGTGTAATTGACTAGCAGGTCATTTGAAGTTTTCAAGAGACGACAGGGAAGAGAAGAGGCTTGATTTCACGAAAACGCGGACAGGCTATACAGGGTGGGGGGAAAGTGAGGGAACAGGAATTTTTGAAGAATTTAATTTTCCCTTTCCGACTTACCTTTCACTAACACCCACTGCTCTCAACGTCTCTAACGTTGATTGTTGCGGCTGTATGGACACTTGAAGACACATGGTCCAGAAGTGTTGTTTGACCGGCTTCTGTTACGCCCAGTTTTTTTTTTTCTTTGCCTCGAGAACTCTAAATTTCGCTATCAAATCCGAAATGCAGTGGATCGACAGACTTTGCCTACTTGGGTGTCTTTCATGGTAGTCATACTTGTTTGCCGCAACTGTTATCTATTTTTGCGTAAATCATCACCAACTCCACTCCTTTTAATTGTTATGTTACTTCACAACACTGTCAAAAAATCACTTCCAAATTTCGTCCGTCAAATTATAGAAAAATTGTGCAAACTCAAGCATAGATGTCACCAACATGAACAGCAATGGAAATGACACTATCACCAAAATTGTCATACTTTTTCAAGGTGGATAACGGTTGTTCATTTCCAGCCAATTTCAATGGATGCGGCGGAAGCATTCTGCACCAGACTTCAATTATTGTATGCCAAATTTATTAAAAGGAGGTATGGAAATGCGCTTCCATCAAGCAGTCCCTTTGAAAATTAAATTTCCCCAAAATTCTTATGTTCTCTCACTTTTGCACCGCCCTGTATAATTATTAACATGATCCCATGCAGAAGTGCCATCATACCCGAGGTCTCCTGACGCCGCACTCCCTGACGGAGATCTGCTTGCCGTTCACTCCTGAAATTGCCTAGTCAAGAGCAGAAGGCGGTATTAGAGTTTTTGAAACCCGTTTTTGAGGATGGCAACGGGAATGCATTGCTAGGCGTTCAAGTTGCAAATTTTCGAATGGCTTTTTGACTACGCGTTTCAGATCTGGAACGAGGGCGAGCAACTTCCACGGATCCCAACGCAGATGATGCGCAAGCGACAACCAGTCTGAGCGCATCCTCAGCTCAGTCATGCACAGCTGTAATCATAGGCGCCGAACCAAGGAGGGCAAAGGGGCACGTACCCCCCCCCCCCCCCCCCCCCCCCCACCCCCCTATATCATTGAGGNAAGGGGCACCCCCCCCCCCCCCCCCCCCCCCCCACCCAACTATATCATTGAGGGGGCAACGCCCCCCAAGAATGGCCAAATGTCAACAAAAGTATGGCACATGGAAAATTAAAAACAAAATGCTGCTTCACGAAAGAAAGGAAAAATATGATTTTCCTTTCTGTGAAGAGTTCTAACTGGGGGAGATCTCTGTCACCCCGTAAGGGTATGGAGTGGAAGGGTCCAGGGCCGTATCTAGGATTTCATTTCGGGGGGGTTGAGGTCTGGCGTACGCGCTGTGGCTATTTTTTTAAATACTTGTCATTGTAAATCTTTGTGACATATCTGGATTTTCCTGTAAGTTGCAGTGTTTAAAAGTCACAAGCTATTAAATATAGAAAGGACCAAGTACTGCACCGTTGACACCGATGAATAGCAGTTTTGGCAAGCATTTAAGGAAGATATTTCGGGGGGGGGGGTTGAACCCCACCCCCCACCCCCCCCCCCCCCCCCCTCCCGCTCGTCACTCTGCTACCATAATAATACTGAGCTACCCCAATGGGTCCTGGAATAATTCTGTCAATGTTATTTCAGGGGCATTAAAAACTTGCCTCCCCAATATTTTTTTTTAGAAGTCAGCGCCTATGGCTATGATGCAATCTAATAAACTTGAAAATCCTTTGTTATCCGATTTTTATGCATTTTCACCAAATTTTAGGAAATGCACTTCTTCCCTAGCTTCAACTGTCATACACAAAACAGGAACAACGGAAGGTGAAATGAAAAGGAATGCATAAGAGGCGTTACCAGCATTCCCCAGTGCTGCATTTTGATACACGACTGGCTGCCTCTAAGAGAGCCCTTCCTCCAGCATCAGAGTTGTGGAGAACTTGTAATTAACCATCCCCCTAACTGCTGTTCGCTATTATGTGGGGTGTCCACGCTCCTGCTGAGCAGCTTTACATTTTTGTAAGACCTCATAGCCGGTGACGCGGTGACAAGGATGCCCTTTTCTGGAGGTAGGCAGAGACTTTTCTGGATGCCCTTTGTGGCAGAAGTTCCACCTGATCCAATCACTTTACGTGGCCCACCCACCTCCGGTCTCTACCACAAAATCAGTGGCGTAGGGAAGGGGGGGGGGGGGGGTTTAGGGGGTTAGAACTCCCCCTTGGGCTTCCCGGTCAGTGACACTGACAGGCACATTTCAACCTTCCTTGGAAATTCCAATTTTAGCTATGTCCCTTCGAGGAAAGTCTGAGGTCCGTCCACAGACCCAAGATGCCAGACCATGATTTATTTGAAAAGGTAAATTCCGGGTAGTGGAGCTAGGCATAGGGTCTTCCTGGCCTTAACCCCCCCCCCCTCTTGCCGATTTCCTGCCTACGCCACTGCACGAAATGTTCACGTCTTCAATGTCTGCCCTCGCCATATTTGTGTAAGTCACATAAACGGTTCCCCTCAATCGTTCCAAAACTTCCAAATTGTTACTCATTGTGTTCCTTCCTCGCAGGTTGTCTAACATGAAACTCTATGTAAATGCTTCCTAAATAAATCCATGAAGGCCTTGTTCTGGTTTGTTTTGAGTTCTCACACAATCCTCCAAAACTCGGTCTAGCGTCAAAGAGCGGGGGTCACTCATAAAAACGCTGAAGTGAGGCCGAACTGTTTTACCAGTTACAGTTTATAGAATTAATGGAAGCCTATCTTGTCATTTAAAACTCGTATCCGCTTAGCACTGGCCTTCTCTGAAGAATTGATTCACCTTTTGTGTTGCTCAGAATGAGATAGTGGAGGACCTAGAAATGCCTCTGTTGGCAGTGCACGAGATATTCTTTGACATTTCTTATTCACACAGCTCTGCGCTGTATCATTTTTAATTCGACGAGATATTCAAGGACGGAGATCCTTCTGCATACTGGTGTGAAAGATATTCCTCTTTCTTGATAGAAATAATTTGTTCAAAGCTGATAGCGGCCATTTTTCCTCTCGAACTTTCCTTGCGAAAACTGCTTCTCTACTTTTGTTTTTGTTGTTTTCTTTTGTTACCAATATTCTGAAAATTTGCAGGGAAACATTTAATGCATCAAAAATACATTTCAATACATTTCAGATTTTCAGAGAAATGCCTTTATGAAGAATGGTAGCCGTTTCATGGCACCTGTTGAAAATTACGTTGAGACTAACTGGGTAAGACTTAAGGTGTGGCTGCACCAACTTCAGTGGCGTAGCGAGGATGGGTTGGGGCTGAAGTCCCTCCAACTCTGGTCTAAATGTGTCTGCTACCTCCTCCCTCCCCCCCATGGGCGAAACCCTGGCTACGCCACTGATTGACACACTCAGTTGAATGGTACTCCACGGTAGTGTGCTGTGCCAAATAAAGTTAATGTTCAATTACTAAGCAACTGTTAAAATATGTTGATATTCTCATCCTTTTTGCAGAAGAAAAGTTGCAGGCGTATGCTATATCACTCTAACACTAGTACATAAGTCTTTGCCATTTTGCTTCTGTTTTACATATCTACCCAAGTTATTGAAAGGCATTCTCCACCTTACAAGTGGGTTGTTTACACAAAAATAGTTGCATAATAGTTGGCACATGAACTGAGAAGGAAACGGAGTAAGTGAATGCAGATATTTATGGCTACCATGGCAATACCTTAGGTTTCTTTCTTTCTTCTCCTTTTTATATGCAGATGTTTATAAAACTATTTTTTCATTCATTTTCTTTAGTCTGGTCTTATCTTACATAAAGGAATGTTGTAACATCAATATTTTTGTTATGTCCTCTTCTTCAGGCCCACTGCATCCATACAAAAGTTATAAAAATTCAGAATAGGACTAGGCACACTCAAGCACACAATGGCATGAATACATGCATACTGGAAGCAATCACTGTCCACCCTAGAAGTTCCTTGTGTCTGTTTTTGTTGTTGGGTTTTGTAATGTTTTCTCTCTTGCTCACCTGCTCCTTCAGTGTAAATCTCGAGTGATGGATTCCAATATCCTGCTCCAACAGTATTAAACTGTATTTTGTTTCAACCACTTGAAATGAAGAGATTATTTTAAGGTCACTGCTGTTTTCTTCATCAAGTTTTGATGAAAGAGAAGCACTCTTGCCAGAACAGATAGTTAATGGAATATATATTCCACAGATATTCTCTTGAAGGGCAGGGTTGACAGAATTTTCCTCATTTCTGTTTACACCAATGACTCTAAATGGTTAAAATTATCAAATGACCACGGTTCAAAATATTGTTGCTCAAAATTGGTAAAAGCTAGTAAAAAATATTACTAGCTGCAATTTCACTCAGAAACTCTTCAATGTGTATATTTTAATAGCACATGAAGTGGCTTCATTCTCTAGGCTGCTAAAACTTAAAATATAAGATGTCAAGATAAAATTTAAGCAGAAGCAACAAGAAAATATGAAAGTCAAAATCACTGAAAAGAAAAAAGTGAACCCAGCTCAATACCAACAACCATGAACAAAATTGCACAAGCAAAGGGAAACAAATACCAATTTCACCAAGTTCCTTGTTTTACGAAAATTAAAATTTTGCAAATTAGCTTACATTAGGCCTGCCCTCAGTAAACTGCAGGTTGTCAGCTGTTGCTTTCAAATTAATCAAGCTAATACCTGTCCTGGTATGTATTCAGATCAAATTCAGAAACCAGATAATCCAGGCAATCACTGTTCAACAGACTACCAAGGACTTATTTTCAGAAGTAACTTTCATAGTTATGAGAGTAATTCCTGAATACTTTTCAAGTTCATGTGGTGTTGCCTGACTTGGACAACTTTGACAGGTTTATTAGATTCAATTTCTGTCTTTGATAGTAATTCCCAGTGAAATAAGTAAGTCCCAGTGAAAACCATTTTTTACTGACCTTCCTCCAACCCTGACTATGGGCCTCAACTGTTAACTGGACATTATAGGTAATTATTTCATGAGGTAGCAGCAAAATAAATTGGCAATACTGCATAACTGGGGGTTTTTCTTTGATCAATTATTGCATTTGAAGAAACTCATTCTGCTTCCAATGTGATGAGTGTAATATTGACAGAATAATAATTGATCGCTAGGGAAAAAAACAAAACAAGAAGCAATTAAAGACAGATAACTTCATGATTCTTGTCCCCTACTTGAGGGGATATCCCCTCTTTTCCTTACCTAACAAAGTAACAAAGGATCAGTGAGAAAAAACTGGGACTTCTAATCTCAGTAATACAGACAACAGTACTTTGGCATGGGACTTCATATCGACAGATTTCACAAGCACAGCCTCTTGGAAATAATTCCCCATGTCATGGATCAGGGAAACACTACATTCACTTTTCCCTTGAAGTACAACACAGGAGGGAATGACAATCAGTCTGACCATCTAGACTTCTTCCTTGACTTTTCAGATGTAGAGCTGGACTCTGACTTTGGGGCAGGAGGTGGTGGCATGGCAGAACTAGGATTCCATACAGGATCTGCACCAGCAGCACAAAACTAAAGAAAGGAAAAATTAAAAGGTTACCAAGAATTAGAATTTCAATATACAAAGATGGATCTTGAATAATCAGAGAAATTAGAGACTTCATACAATTTTTAAACTGACTCTATTAGATCCTGAGATGTACAGGGTGTCCTAGAAACGTCACCCAAAGTTTTGTACAACATTGTCTTTTTTTTCTGACAGAAATGAGTTTGTATCCTTTAAAAGCCTAGACCTTTCAAGACAACTGCTGTTAAACGTGATGGTTTGTGAGAACTGGTTGTGGGGTTTTTTTGAAAGAGAAGGTTTATGCTATAAAACCCCTAACATCCTTGACCTCATCAGTGCCTTTCACTTAGTCTTAGTCTCTGTCCAAACTGGGGGTGATGTTTCTGGGATGCAGGGATTAAAAACAGGGATTCAATCTTTTTACCACTGAAATTGGTTCCCATTCTGATCATGACACATACGGCATCACCAGGGAAAGTCCTTCACTGCTTTCTGGCACATGTCCAAGCTTATGGCATTCAGTTTGTTGGAAATGGCACTGATGAGGTCAGGGGGATATTAGGGGTTTTGTAACATACACCTTCTTATTCAAAAATCCCTACAACCAGAAATCACAAACCATCAAGTTTAACAGCAGTTGTTTAGAAAGGTTTTGAACAATACAAAACTCATTTCCATCAGAAAAAAATAAAGACATAATAATGTACAAAACTTGGGGCAGGGTTTCTGGGACACCCTGTATAATAAGAAAAGTTAAAATGGAACTTACATTAGACTTGTACTGAGCAGAAAATGCCTGCTTCAATGCTGAAAGCCGATCTGTACCAGGTCCAATCTTTGGAGCGTTTGCAGCTGCAAGTGGACCCCCATAGGAAAAATCTCCAGTGCCCTGGGGAAAAATTTGTTGTAAGTATATTGACACCTAAAACTGAGATACCTGTATATTGGTAACTTCAGCTAGGCATAACTGTGATACCTGGCTTCTTGAACTAGAGGAAGCACCAAGGCCAGCTCTGTCCTGGAATCCAAGGCCTCTTCCCCCAACATTTGGTTTCCTGCCTTTACCCGACTTGAATCTGGACTTACGGAACCACACACACTAGAAGAGACCAAGATATACTCATCAAACTGGAAGACAATAAAGCCACAAATAAGTGAAGTGTCTTGAGATAGAGACCTGCATGGCAAGATTCATGAGATCATCAGGAACTGTCTGATTGGCTCCCTCAAGATTCCTCACAAGATGCCCAGCAAAGTCCTTGTCTTTGTCAGTGATCAATGTGTATGCAGTACCTTTCTCCCCTGCACGTCCTGTTCGACCCACTCTGTGGGTGTGAGTGTCAATGTCCCTTGCCACATCAAAGTTGATCACTGTTCGGATGTGTGGTATGTCCAGACCACGAGCTGCCAAAGGAATATGGAATCTGTTTTAAGCACAAATGGCAAACAAGGAAACATTGCCTCAATGCATCATCTTCTGATTCCAAAAGAACTACAAAAAATCAACTAGGCCTAACTGCCACCAGAAAAACAAATAAGTTACCTGCAACATCAGTAGCAACAAGAATATCCACCTCCTTGTGCCGGAAGCTTGTAATCACCTGGTTCCGCTCTATTTGGTCCATATCCCCATGCAATAAGAGAAGAGAGAAATCCCGCATCTTCAGATTATTGGCCAGTTCCTCTGCATTCAGCTTCTTTGTCACAAAGATCAGGACAGTGCCCTGAGATGTGAAGTTCACAAGGTGGGCAATCAACCAGTTCCACTTGGAGGGACCTGAAGACATAACCTTCACAATCTGAGTAACATCTTCATTGGCCTCCCCAACATCACCCTGGACAACTTTCACTGGGTCAGTGAGGACATCACGTGCCAGACGCTCCACCTTCTTCTTGAATGTGGCTGAAAACATGAGACACTGTCGATCTGGTCTCACGTGGTCACAGATTGACCTCACCTGTGGTTCTGACATGCAAGATGGGAGAGATATTAAAATTAAATATATGCACAGGAAAGAGAGTAACGTGTTGGCAGGCAGAGGAGACACGAACCAAAGCCCATATCAAACATGCGATCAGCCTCATCCAGGACAAGATATGTGACACGTTCCAAGTTAGTAGCCTTCATCTTGACCATGTCAATCATGCGACCTGGTGTGGCAACCACAATCTCAGCTCCTGCTTCCAATGCCTTTGACTGTTCATATTTGGATCCCCCTCCATAGCAGCATACCACTTGAAGATCATAGATTTTTCCAAACCTCCTTGCTTCTTGGTAAATCTGGAAAGAAAGCAATATGTACCTAATGTGAACAGAAATCATTTTGCATCTTATCACTTATGATTATACGTGTCATTGACTAACCAACCAATCTTTTCTAACTCATTACAAAAATTCAGTATTGATTAACCATGATAATACACCCTTTTTTCATGCCTCCAAAATTGAAAAAATGCAGGTTTCTCTTAGGCATGAAATAAGGAAGGTTTTCTGACAATGGCAGAAGGAATGAAAAAAAAAAAGAACATGTGGTCCTTTTCTCCCTCTCTCCTCATGATCTCCATCCCATCCTGTTTTTTTTTTTTTTTTTTTTTTGCATTTCCTACATAGATGGGATAGAGGGAAGTTTTGATGAGGGAAACGGGACTCTCCATCACACTGCTTTTCCTCCTTTTTTTCCACTCTCCCAATGTTGCATTCTTTTCTGTGTAATTACTTAATGTCTCACTCTGTAGGTCATATCTGGAAAGGGAGATCCTTCTCTCATCATTTAAAACAAGTAATCTGTAGCAGAAAATGTATCAAGAGTAGGATCAACTTCAGTCTCTTCACAGTAGTCTCCTCTCAGAAAATTTTCCACTTCATTGGGAGTTTTCACTGAACTTTGATTAATAGTTGGGTAACCAGATAGTTTATGTCAGTTGCCAGTTTACCAGTCTATTTACCAGAATCAACCAGAAACTAAGATCCCAACTTAAAATGGTGTCTCATGAAGCTAATGAAAACATGGCAGAGGGAAAGAGCAGTGCCTGGAGAGCAAGTTCTCGGGTGGGGGCCAGGATAAGACCAATGGGTCCTTGGCCCTTTTGGAGAGGGGGTTGATCCATGATGTGCACCAACATTGGCCATATGTATGCTGCTGTTTTTCCTGATCCTGTCTTAGCAATCCCTGGAGAAAGAACATAGAAATAAAGGAGTAAAAGTGTATTCCTCTCCAAGAAAGTGTTCAGAAGACAAATTAGGTCTCACCAATGATGTCTCTCCCACTGAGAGCAACAGGAATGCCTTGAGCCTGGATTGGGGTTGGCTGTGTATATTCTGATTTCCTAATGGCTTTAATTAAGGTTTCCTCAAACCCAAAATGAGCAAAACTGCTGACTGGTTTTGGTGGACATGCCCCTGTCACCTGCAACAATATGATATTTTCTGTAACATAAGAGTTAGATAAGAGCAGTATTTTCAACCAATCTGTGAGAATCTGTCAACTCACCCAAATACCAAGCTTATTCCTCAGTTCTGCCATTTTCTGCATATCTAATGCATGAATCTCACTATGCTCCTCATAGAAATTCTTCTCAAAATCAGAGTACTGAATCTGACTGTGGTCCATTGGTGGCAGAGGATCAATATACTGTTTAAGAAATAGAAAAATCAATCAGACAAGTTTTTTAAAAACAAGATTACAGAAAATCAAGAAAACTCTTTCACACTAAGTGCCAATTTTGAACATCAGCATCAAGCAGTGTACTAGACAAAAGAGGGAGAATCCATGGATATTAGCAATAGACTATACCTTTTTCTTGGTAACAATGGGATTCCCATCTTGATCATACTCCATTTCTTGATCAGAGTCTTCCTGTGTTTTCCCAGCATTTGGGTTCTCTGCCATGAACCTTAACACCATGCAAAAAGCCTATCATACTCAGGTCTGTTTGCACAACAAACTAATATTGAGTTTGTTTCTCACAAAAGTCTTGACTTCTACTCAACCATGTCTATTGTCCACCACATTTACAAATATGTTGCCAAGGCCTAACCTATAGTAAGATTCTTCATCATCCTCCTCTTCAATGTCATCTCGAATACCCCTCTTGCTGGACTTGGTCTGCTTCACTTCATCTACCACTGCTTGACGCTCCACCTTTTGCATAGTAAAAATTAGGTATACATCAATATCCATTGATGAAGCAACCAGATGGCCTTACAATGTCTCAGGGAAGCAGGGTTAGGACTTAACATAGTACATAATGGCTAATCATGTCAGAATTATACACCCACCTCACGGTCAATGTTACTCATGAAGGCTTCCAGAGGATCATTGTCTTCATCAGTATCTTCTTCTTCTTCTTGATTACCAGGGCTTCCAGGAGCAGGCTGATACGCCCTATTTTCTTCACTCTCTTCCTCTTCGTCGAAGTATCTATAAAGGTATCGGGTTTTCCATTAGTTCTCCCTATTCTTCCTTAAGTTCATCCCAAAGTCTCTGCCACCATAGTCTTAAAAGAACCCACTCTTCCTCTGTTTTGGCTCTTCTTTTCGGGACGCCAAAGGTGGCAGCCAGAGCATTTTGGCTGATGGCATGGAGTGTGGAATAGCCGTGCTTGCTGACCCCTGCTGTCGGTGGAGGCGGAGGCACTTCTGCCTTCTTTTTCTGAAGGCTGAAGCCGCCGAAGCCGAAACCTCTCCCTTTCGCATAACTCATCTTTACACCCACACACTGTAAACCTACGTGGGCATGGAATAGGCCTAACGCTTCGGAGATAACTCACTAAATTTAACTTTGTTCAGGGAACGAGGAGGGAGCCATATTGCATTTGAACAGAAAGAATGATAGCGACATCTATTCTTTCAATTGGGTGCAATCCAACTTGTAACTTCCAATCTAAACCGCGGAACACGGCAATGAAGTACTACAAAACGGTGACTTCGAATCCATTTTTTACATTTTCATATTGACTGCTTGCACTCTCTACGAACTTCTCTATCGTAAACGCCATTGAATAAGCCCGGAAAAAAATTTAGTCAGTTCCGGTATGTTTGAAGTCACTCCGGATTCACCGCGTTGGTAGGTTAGCAATATCATCTTAGAGGTCTTCTTATCCTCAAAGAGAGGGTCTGGCACTTCCTGCGGTGCGCAAAAATTTATTGGCTTAACTTAAAGGAGCTGGGTGCGCGGTTTAGATTTCCGCAACACAGGCAGCTGGAGCCTGTGCTTGCCAGAAATGCAAGTTGCCGAACACTGCGCGATTCCAGCCACCCCAAGTCGATTTAGAGGGCTTGGTGGAAAAGTGACGACATCAAGCAAGCCGGCTTGGATCGCGATGGCACTCTCTGCAATGATCAAACGATCGTGATGATGCCAGTCGACGAAGAGTGAGTTATCGTGTTCTCGTAAACGGCGTAAAACCCTCTGTGTCACAGATGGACCATCCTTTGCGGAATCGCATCGAGAAATGTCATTACGCTCACCTGCGAGCACTTGGCGATCGAGGAAGCAATGTAGACGTGTAAGGAGGATGAAGCAGATGTCTGCCATCCGCATCTCGCTTTATCATCACGTCTTCCCTTTTTTTTTTTTGCCCTCTCCGTCTCAGCCGGGAATGAATCCGGAGGGTCCCTGACCTAAAGACTGGATCCCGTCTCGAGACGGTCCTCCACCTTCCGCCCCTCATTCCGTCCACTTCTTTTCCGTAGTTGCATTCGTTCTGTGCTTCGCCATGACCGCCACTTGCAACCGGTGAGCCTCACCCTCGCTGCGAGCTACACATTATGCTATAGATTATCTGCAGCTGATGTCAGAAACAATGTGAAAATCGGTCTCCTTAGAGAGCAGAAGCCGGTCGTAAAGGGCGTTTCACACTTTTCGTGTCGTGCGTCCTTCGTGTCAATGCTGGGGCAATTAGGCAGACGCACGCGTGCACACGCATGTCCACTTACATCGAAGGTTTTCACTAAACGCAAGGCTTGTGTTTTCAATAGAGCTCATCCCAATTCTACTCCCAAGCCTTGCGTTTTGTGAAAATATTAGAATATAAGTGGACACGCGTCCACTTATATATCCTAATGTTTTCACATGCGTGTGCACGGGTGCGTCTGCCTGCCTGCCCAAGCATTCACGCAAAGGACGCATGACACGCAAAGTGTGAAAGGCCCTTAAGTCAGTTCCCGCCCTATGCGACTCGAACGTGTGAAAGAGCAACTTTAAGGGAAAACTTTCGTCTGATCCTTGAGTGGGCTATCTGCACCTCACCGAAACACCAAATTAAGTGAAAGGGAAAAACTTAGCTCGCCTTTCTCTTGGTGTTGATTAAGCCTCCTCATTGAGCGGTGTTCCGCCTCTCAGAGTGGGTTTAAACGTAAGGTGTAAAGTGTGAAGCGTAAAAATAATGATGGAGGCGAGGGACATATTTTATTTTATTTTTATCAAAATAAAATAAGAGCCGAGTGCAGAGTAATGCCATCGACTTCTTACAATTTTACTTTTTATTTGCAAGAAGTCGATGGCATTACTCTGGCAGGAACTATTAATACATTCTCCCGTTCTGCATAATGCCTTCTCACGTTCGAGGCGTGAGCTCGTGAAGTCGCCTAGCGATGAATTCAAGGGCGTCCTTAGTCGTATCGTCTTTCCCGTAAGTTGCGCTTTCGAAAGGCTTATGCTGCACACCATATCTACCCAAGTTAGAGAAAAGGGAGAACGTGTAATTTTGCCTTTTTTTTCCGGGAGGCAAGAATTGGCCATTTTTCAACAGGAGCATAAAAAGTGACTTGTTCAAATTTTTTTTTTACCACGGAGTTGATAGACTTGAGTTCCCTGGTGCAACTGTAAATATTCATCGATTCCCTTCTGCCTGGAAAAAAAAAGTAAAGCATTGCTCTCATTAAATTTTCCGAGATTGCATATTCACCCTCATGTCAGACCTGTGACGATATGTTCATTACTGACTCCAAATATTTTCATCAATCCGATATGCCCTTCATAGCTCCACGCCGCTAATGTGAACATTCGAGGGAATAGGGAATAGCAAGAATGGTCTCTTTTGGTCTTGGGCGAATGGGCTTTGAAGAAATGAACGGATGCCTCAAGATATTCCTTACTCCAGTCAAAAATCCTCTTTAACAGCGATAACGCAGCATGACGTGGAACGGTCTTTTCGCATGCAGGTGGAACTTTTGGCAGTGGGCGATCGTATGGAACCTGATGTGCTGCTGGAATCCAGGGCTTTCGCAGGACTTGATCATTCCAAGTGGAGAGGAATTGGGCCCGGGAAGTGTGTATCTTCACAAGTTGAGGGAGGTGCTTCATGGCATCATCGGCGATAAGACAAATCCAGATGACTCTGAAGATCACTCATCTCGTAGTAAGCCTCCGCGTTTTGTCCAGTTTGCATGCCGCTTGTTGCTCATATTTTGTTCAATCTGTACAGCTTATAGAAACTCTATCAATTCGAGTCTAATTTCCAAAAGCAGTTAGGTTCGAGAGTACCCCATGCCTTCTCTCACCTACTGGATATTGTTTTCTGGAAAAAAAAGCTAGTAGATGTGCAGCAAATAATTTAAATTATTTTATATCGGAAATAGCGGGAATGGAGGAGAGTCGTAAGCAAGGATACGACACACCGAACATTTCGCCATATCTCTTCAACTTTCGCATACCCGGCTTAAACGAGCCCACTGGAATCACCGCCGTCAGCAGTGAGAAAAACTATCCTTGAATTCCTTGAAGCTTTCCTATAGTTTCGATATTTTTCCATTGTAGACGGAGTGTAGGTGGATCTTCGGGCTTTCAGACAGGCACATGACCGTTTGCTCCTACGAGCGTAAGCGTGGCGTCTGAGGGACACAAAAGGGGGGGGGGGGGAGTAGGGGGGGGGCTCGTTCCAGCTCACGGAAGGAAAAAGGAAAACATGAATGCTTGGGAACTGTATTCCAGAGTTCTGCAAACCTTTCTCTTCCCTCCCTGCGATTCTATTCTGCAGTATTTTCAAGCGTACACCATGGGAACGATAGGACCCTGAGCCTTCAGTCATCCTGATGTGGAGCATCGTCGCAATTTCCAGGGAATCCAGTCAGGTGGCGCTCTTAACAGTGAGACCACTGCTGACCTCAGGTCCCGTGTGTCATGGAACTGGGCGCATGCAGGGGGCAAAGGCTAGACGGCTACGGGAGCCAGGTGTCGGAATCGACAATAGGTTTCAAGATTTTAGAGAGGCACTGTTCGAAGGGGAATCGGAGGGTGAAGCTGGATGGATGGGGAGGTCGAAAGGACAAGGTCAACGCGTGAACAGGGAGTGAGGGAAAACGCGATCCGTGTTCTTTGCCGGGGACTCTTCGGTCACGAACCTCCTGACAACTACAAGGAAGAATTTCGAGGTGTAGGAATCTGTCTCCTCCCTTTCTCTGGCGTGAGGATATCTAGGATAGGGGTGACGGAGTCCTCTGCGTCGACCGAGGTGTTAGTGGTCCTGCATGTCGAGACCAATGATTTCCCCGATTCTTGCTCTGAGGTCATCGTCGCCAAGCTCAGTTAGACGATTAGCGCGTGTCGTGACACAAAGTCACGGGTAAGGATGAAGAAGGTATGCTCGATTTCTAGCCGATTGGATGAGGAGGGATCACGGTCCATGTCTCAAGGAGTAAACGAAGAGTTCAGAGAGTTCTGTATCGCTGAGTGGCCGGTGTTTCCGGACACCTGGTTGGTTTTATAGGGTGAGAGAGTCATTTTTCATGAAGCGACCCAAGGGCATTATGAGGATCTCACGATTAATTTTGGAATAGTTGAACATTTATGGTGTGAGTTCGGCGGGGAGACGGGGAGGATCTTGTTGGGAGTCTTCTGTAAATCATCATATACTTCTTGACGGGGTAGTATCGTTTTCGTTGCGTTAATGAGTAACATCAACAAGAATTCTTATACGGTTTTGCTATTTGGAGATCTCCATCATAAATCGGTGTGTGCCGCGAGGGGGAAGAGGTAGATAAGGAGAAGGAATTTATGGATGAGATCCAATGTGCTCCCTTCGAGCGACGCAGAAGAGATATTCACCTGAAATGCCGCAGTATTACAGAAGTTTTTGCAACGGATGACGATCTGGCGCTTCGTGTCAAAGTTCAGGATAAATCAGGGGACTCGGATCATTGCGTGGTCACGCGTGATATCAAAGTCGATGGGCAACTATATGCCGACGGATGATCATAGGGAAAGCGGATTTCAGTCGGTTGAGGGGTTTCGTTTCGGATTTCGATCGGTAAGGAAGGTTAATGGGCCTAACGGTTGGGGGTCAGGGAAAGAGATTTGACACGGTTCAGTAAGGTTTTATGGAGGTTCATATACAGAAGAAATCAAAGAGGTTGCTCGTTCCACGGGTCCGGTTTACTCGTAAAATTAAGAGGCTGATCGACGGTTATTAAGTGGATGCGGAATTCGCACGGGAGCACGAACACTCGAGCTGTGTAGGAGTAGTATCGGGTCAGTATGATGTCATTCCAACGGGAAATTAGGTTAGCGATGTGGGAGCGAGCGGAAAAGCAAGCGATTGATGTTAACAATAGTTGCAATGCTTTTTATCGATGTGCCAGCGGCAGGAGTCTGCATTCCATCAGACCCCTGTAACGATGATAAAGGGTTATTAATTACGAATATGGGCGGGTCATAGAACGGGGTATCTCTTGCTCCCGTTTCCGCGATGGAATCAAACGAGGAGCCGACGACGAACAAGGTCACCTCGGCGTGCATCCCGGAGATCCTCATAGCCGAGGAGGAAAACGAGGATCGGGAAGCAAAAAGCGGGAGAGGCAACCGGTTCGG